TTTTTTTAATATGCGACGAAAGAAATTAACAATAGAAAAATAGTTCTTAGAATACAATAGTAACATAACTTTTGATCTCTGAACGGAACTAACACTGATAACGATAGTTACGATAGCGCTTTCGAATAGCTTTTAAATAAAATTTGTATAACTCATTTAAGTGTTTATAAGTATTAGAGTAATTCATAAAAACAAAATAATTGTTATTAATTCCTTGATTTTTTAAAATTAGTTATTATTGTGATAAGTGTAAAACGAGAAAAAAATTTCATTTTCGTGATTTAAATACGACAACTGAACAATTCCCACAATTATTTGAGATAACAGCAACAGAAATTAAGATATCCAAAAATTTTACACAAATATTTAGGCTAACAATAGGACGTGTTAACATATTCCAGACAATCTCACAAGTATTTAGAGCAATGGGAGAACAAGTTATAACCCCGTTATTTTATATTATATATAAAATAACGGATTATATATGTATTATATTGTATTAAATATTGTATTGATACTCATTAATAAAACGTTTTATACACATCATATTTATTTGTCACGTTTGTTAATTAAACATACATATATATCTTGTGTAGGCCCACATATTAGCATATTTCTCTACATTTTCTGTCAAATAATAAGATATTTTTTCAATGTTGTATAACAAATAAATAAAAGGAGTAAAAGTTTAAACATTTGAAAGGAAGTACCCACTCGTAAGAATTCCGAAACTAGTTTTCAGATAACTGAATTTTAGGTCATCATATATATGTATGTATTGTATTATTTTTAATGCTTGATTTTAATTAAATAATTTTACTTTAATTTCAGATGGCGATATCGGTTTACTTTATCTTTTTCCTACTTGCTACAACTGAAATCTGTTACCCCTCTCCTTTCGGTAAGAATTTTCCGTTATTAATAATATCTATACAAAGAAAAAGGAAAAGATTAAATTGTCATATTTATTTTTTGCTTACAGAACGGAAGAAACGAAGTATCTACAAATCATAAGTTTACTTTCATTTATTTACAGTATTTATTTATTTTTGTAACCACTACATATTTATAATGTAGAAAAATTCGAATTTTATAGTCCTTCGAGCTGTAAACGTGATTCAGATTGCGAAAAGGACGAATGGTGTGATTTTCGTTGTTCTGGTGTTATTCTGCTTAACTGTAGTGGAACATGTGTAAAACGCTAATGATATTTTATGTATTTGACGAAAGTAATAAAACAATCATCTTAAAATAGTAATTGTTTAATGACTTGTTTTAAAGCAATGTTAATCAGAAAGCATACGATTGACTCATTTTAGATTTACTCATAAGAGTTTTTTGTTTTGTTCTATTTTACAAATAACCGTTATACTAGAGCGACTACAATCTACGCGTAACGAAATAAGTTTATGAGTTCTTCTTTAAGTGATATGTATCAGGTATACAATTTGAAAATCTTATGTTATACATAGGGTAGTTATATTTAACACAGAAATAGTATGGCGATCAGTCAAAAAATAATCCTTCCAAACTTTTTACATTTTTTGGACTCAATGGGACTTGAAACGTCGAAAAATGCAAAAAAAAAAAAAAAAACGGGTTTTTGTTGTATGTATGGATGTTAGTTTGTTTCTGTATTTTGCATGGAGGTTTCTTTATTAGGGGGATTGAAGCTATCAAATTTTAGTGGCTAAAGGTTGCGGAGATGGAGAGATAATATGAGTCATGTAGGCCCTATATACATATAAATATGTCACTGTAAGAAAAGTGAGCTACTGAACAACCCTTAACGAAACTAACAATGGACAGAGTCAGGAAATCAAACAGTATTTTTACCACTTACGCGTTTCACGGCGATTACGGATTTATTCGTTTGAAATTCTGACACACAGGACGACTTTTAACACTATCCCTGTCTAGCGACAATAGTTAGAACTAAAGCTAACTATAATCAATTTTTCACGATAAAACTTGGGCCGTATTCTGTTCATCGTCTCTCGTCTGTCGTCTCTCACAAGCTGGTCGCTGATTGGCTAATCATTTGTTTATGTCTCGAAAAATGATCGGGTCTCTCTAAACGCGATTCCGGACAGCATTTTCTCTCTTCGCTTCTGTCGTTTGTCAGAGACGAGCGGGTAATTGTCTTTCGACCAGTGTATCGTCTTTCGCTTCGATTTCGTTATATCTAATATGGATGATTGGCTGCTACTCGCGCTGTACAATAGTATTAGAGAACGTTCTCTATCTAGAGAAATGCCTCTGATTTTTTTCCACTGCCTACTCAGAAACGTCACTGATTCCATTTTTTTAAAAATTGCCCTATATCAATTACTGAACTATCGAATATGATGTTAATTTTACTTGGATAGTGAAGGAGAAATTAGATGGTAATATTTCGAAAAATATACAAGTATGCACGCTTTTCTAACTTAGGCTATTATGATTTTTATTTGTTAAAAGACAAATTGACATTGCAATCTGTAAAAACGTTATAAAACAAAAACAAGTTGGTCGAAATTACCTGTTTTATTTGAACACATGCTTTCCTTNTCATATATATATATATATATATATAGATTTTTAACAAGCAAAGATGGTCAATACTCCTATCACTCAATTAGATTCTTATTTTAGTAATAAAAAGTCATGCTACCGAGAATGCCCTTTTCGATTCAATTGATGTGAGTAAAATTCTGACTTTTCTTAAATGCATTAAACACGTGTTATGTGTTTTTTCGCCTGTAGCCTGAAAAATTTCTAGTTAATTTTCGAGAGTGTAGTACTTGTTTTGCTCTCTAGTGTTTTTAATTTGTCTACCTCGGCTGCTTTAATAGAAACATTAAGCATATAGCCCAATAATTCGTCAGTTCGTGTCTTTAATAATCTGCTTTATAAAAAAAAACTTCATACTTGTAGACTTTATATTCGTTTGTATTTCTGCCCAAATTACTATGGTATGGTTAAAAATGGTATAGCTATTTGGTATGGTTAAAAATTATAACAGCGTAAGCGCAATTATTCCAGATATTAAAGGCTTTAATGACAAGTAAAGAATTTTCAGAGTCTTGTCATAAATAAGCCACATTTTAATTATTGACTATTTGTGACATGCTGAAACAAACAAAAATTTAAAAAATGAATATATAGGTTTAAAATTAATAAATACAAATGTATTCTGAACGTTTATGTGTTAACAATACTTTCTAGTTGCAAAATTTTCTCAACTTTAACAGAAAATAATAAAAAAGTGAATTTTCATGAAATTTGCAGGATTTCTCGGGATGAGAAGAATTATCCGGGATATCTCATGGGTTAAAAAAACAACCGGGATCCCGGAATGAAGTTTGAGAAACCCTAATGCACACAATCCAGGACTTTCCTCTCCTTGTCACTCGTTATGCGAAACTTCGATCGTTAATCGAGTCATTTCTAAAAAATTAAATTTGCTCATTACGCGAAACACATGTTATTCAAAGTGCTCGTTAAGCGAAGTTTCATTGTACTAAGCTGTTAAATAAACATAGAATGGAAAAAGTAGCGTCAGCTGAGCAACAATTGGACTTAAGACAGCATAATCATTAATAACATTAATAAATAATATAAGAGTATGAAAGTTGATATTAATAATGATAACAATAATGGAAAAAAATTATGAAGTGGCACCATCTGTGGAGAAAGAACGAAACTAAACAACCTACATACAGATTTATGGTTATATTTATAATACTTATTTACAAAGGACAAATGGTTTTCAAATTCATGTCTCTTTGGTAAACACTTATTTGTTTTAGTGTGAATGTATTACCAATACACGACCTTCCTTTCCTAAAATCTGACTGTTCTTCCATTACCAACTTATTCTTTATTATTTTACTAAATATCATATACAGGCCTATTGTATTTAGAATAGTAATTCCTCTGTACTTTTTTCTTGTATAATTTTTATTTCTTTTTCTAAATATTAAAATAACCTTTGCTATATTCTACAAAAATGTTAATGATAGAAAGATGAACAGCGTGTATCTGTTGTTATCAGCAAAAAGTATGATGTACAGTACAGTACCTGGAAAAAAACACCATGAAATTTTACGAAGTGAATTGAAAGTTTTCTAAGTACGAAAATCTATTGTAATATTTTATTGTGGGTTTTTCAGGGATTTCATTAAAGAATATCGTCCCCAAAGGTTGTTTACTGAGAATAAAACACGAGGGATGGATTCTGTCAATTGAATATGAGAAAAAAATATTTTTCGGAAGAACTTTTATAAAAAAAGCACCTAATTCCATATTTAATAGATACAAGAAATCCTTTACATGGGCAAGCTGTTAATGAGGCGTACAAATCTCCAATCCTTGTATGCCTGAGTTCAATTGTTTCATTCCCAGGACCGTATCCCCATTTATAGCTGCATTTCTCATTATTGCACAGGCTGACATAAATCCTCAAATTTGGATGTATTTTATGTTTTATGACGTTATTATTACATCATTTACTGACGATGTCACATACTTGATCCTAAACATTCTTATATTTGTTTTATTGTAACGTAAACAATTATAATCAATATAAAAACTATAGGAATTTAATTCAGTTCATTTCGCTGCTACCTTTGCGACCATTGCCTGCTAAGAAGATGAAATTGATTAATTTTCATAACATTTAAAAGAGTCACTCGACAATAAATAACCTTCTTTCTTATAAATTTACTCGTTGCACATGTATTTTATTAAATATTTGTCGGGACCATTATAAATGGACAACTCAGTTTACATAAACATTTATATAAAATTGCGATATAAAAGTTTTCATATTAAATTGATTATACGTGAAACTTCCGCCTTGACAAAAGGAAAGGTTCTACACTATACAATTAAATTGTAGAAAAATTTTTGTATTCGGTAAAATTTTCATTTTCATTTTTCTAAATGAACATTTTAAACAGGAAATTTGTAAAGCGAGAAAAAATTTTAAATAAAAAAATTATTCTAAAAGTAAAAAAAAAAATGGAAGTAAAATACCACTGCTGAATAACAGAACCGGTTCGGTTATGACGCAGTTGTCGTCTTCGGTACAGGTAACGTCTTTAACTTTAATAACTCAACCATAAAATAAATTAAAGTATTATTTACTTATTATATAACTACTATCATAATGTACTCAAATTACTACTCCGTTTTAAATGAAAATGTGCTGTAACTAATATAAAACATTAATTGGATTATCTAACCTTGAGAGAAGAAATGAGAGAAGTTAAGTCTCGTTGTAGTGCAAAGTTAGTCTTCAATAATAGGCAGACTGTTAATTACGTGAAAAAAACTGATTGTGATTGGCATTATTAAACGCTTGTTGTCTTACGCATAGATATTTCATTATAACATACAGTACCGCATCGAAAACTGCATATCAAGAAAAATATTTACCATGTGTCTGTTGAGTTTGTTCCAAATTCTGTTAAGTTTAGTTATTATTTTTCATTTTGTGACATATTTAATACAAAAGAAAAAGAGAAAAGGAAGGAAACAACAAGAAAATGATTCGACTTCGAACAAATATGGAGAGAATTTGTTTGTATCTGGAGGTAAGCCAATAATTGAATACTTTTTGTTTTTTTAATTTTTAAAATATCATTAATTTAACACGAAAGAAGTGATTTGACTGCGCTACAGCGCTCTATATTAAAGCTCAGCCGCACGTTTCAATGTTAAAATGCCAAATTTAATGATTAATATCTCCAAAATCGACATTCAGATTTGGACAAAATTTAAAATATTTAGTGTCCGCGATAAGCGGTACAGAAGTCTTAAAGTTTGAATAAATTAATTGGATCGTTTTGGCAACTACAAATTCTGCAATTTCGAGTAGATTTACAACGAGAAGGATTTTCGCAACATTAACCTAGCGGAAAATCTATAAAATGTCTGTGTATCTTCAACTGTTCTTTGTACAACCGACCACCTCTTTTGTGGTCCCTTTAAAGGTTTCATTTCAAATATCGAGAATTTATATAATTATAAGCCCAATGTTTAAATATTAACATCTTATTGGTCGATCGTCTATTACGTGAAGTGACGTTTTGCTATTCCTTTTAATCTATTAGCATCAGATTCTTACAATGACAAAACGCATTTTTGTCGGTTGTGTCATGCTCATTTACTTCGTTTAATATATAAGTATTTTAATACAAAATTATTTTAAATAATACATAAATACAGGAATAAGCGTTGGATTTTGACAGTTCAAATTACAGCTTTCGGGTGCCGGTACTTCTCGTTTATCTTTTTTATGACTACTTTAATTAATATTGTCAATTTTACTTAATATTACACCAGACGATCTTCCTATTAATTCAATGTTTGTAAAAAACCGTGGTAATTGTTTTTAGTGTAATTTCTCTTCCAAATATTTAAAAGAGTTTTTTTCTTTGTAATCTTGTTTGGTTATTGAAATCGTAGCCATAATAGCATCTACTAGAATCACAGCAGTCATCGTACATTTTCTTTTTTTTTCTAATGTTACCACAGAATCTTTAACGTTATCTGAACAATAACTTTGTGTCGTTTGTCAGTCTTTCGTGTTAAACTTGAAACCTTCATTCTGCGGGATTCTGAATAATTGGCACAGTCTTAGCGCAATATGGCTGCATTCTGTCAATTAGCCCATTTCTTATATTTATACTTTTTGAGATTGTTTCTTATAATCGTGGTTTTAAAGAGCAAATCAATTTATTTTGTTAGCTGTACCAGTTTCTTAATTTTGTACGCGATAAACGTGTTACTTAAGCTTAAAATAACTGAAGAATTGTGTAAAAATTGACGAATAGTTTATTACCAGCAATTTGGCCACCATTTTTATTACATTTATAATACAACTAATAAATTTTACAATTAGGAAATAATATTTGGCGNAATAAGCATCAAATAGCCCAAATTCGTTGAGGAAAAATCTTTCAAAACTTTACAGTTTTCATCAATAATTTATATAATAATTTAAACTACTGAAATTAAATTGATTTTTTTCTAATATATTTTTTTTACATTAAATATTCGATTATTTTTCTACTATAAATATACTTAAAAATTTTTATTGTTTATTTATTTATATTCTTTTAATACTTACTTGTGAGTAAGGGAATGTGATAATTATTATGCTTAAACCTGCAGAGGCTCTTTTGATGCAATTTGCTAAGACAATGCTCCATTCCATTTTTATAATAATTCATTTTCCTATTTTGTGTTATAAGATATCTTTGCCTTTCCTTAGTTCTCTGGTTACTCTGCATTTATTTATGTATATTACTTTCTGTATTAATCGGTTCGTGTTAATATTCTTTTTAAAGAAATACGTTGCGTAATAAACATTTTATTGATACTCATTAATAAAAACGTTTTATACACATCATTTTTATTTGTCACGTTTGTTAATTAAACATACATATATATCGTGTGTAGGCCTACATATTAGCATATTTCTCTACATTTTCTGTCAAATAATAAGATATTTTTTCAATGTCGTATANATGTCCTCCGAAGAAGACAATTTTGTAGTTTCAGTAAATTTTATTTATATATTTTAATGTAAATACCATCTGCCAAGATTTGATTTTCATGAACTTTATTGTGAATTATAGTATTGGCATAATTGCCAGAGGAGGTTTTTATCCATTTTGCATTTTATTGCGGAAGCGCAGCCTAAAATAAAAGGTCGTCTCTGTAACTGAAAATTGCTTTTGGAAGTCACTGGTATTTGTAACAACAGAACATGAAGACAATTTTGTAACTTCAGTAAATTTTATTTATATATTTTAACAATATTTAAATATATTAGGTCACTGTATGACTTTGTCATAGAATGATAAAATTGAGACAAAGAGCTGTGTTTTTATAATTAAAACTTTTTTAATCAGTATTAATACTATATATTATCTTTGTTCCATCTAACCCAAGCACTGACACTTGTTTGAAAGTATATGTAATGGCATGCGCACATGTGTGTACATGCATGCAATAAAAAAAATATAAAAAAAACAATTGCTGGCTACATGAGAAGGCAATACACTTATCAGTCACAAAGAGGCAATCCTTACACTTGGCATGGACAAGTGACATTTGCTCAGTGTCAACTGCTTTGTTCTTATGTTTTGTTCATTTTTATGCCCATTTTTCATCAGGTGCATGCAATGCTGTTTTCTTATTTTTTCCATCCTTAAATTCTGTTAGGTATATGCTCAATTGCATGAGGCAACATAAACGTTTTCTCTTTAACCTCTACTGTATCTCAAAATTGATGTCATGACCACCCCTTCTTTTTATTGCATTTTTGGATTTCTCAGCATAATCGAAAATAGCAAACTCTAATCAAAATCAATTGATCAAATTTCAAGAATGAACACAATTTTGTAAGCCACATAGAAGAGGCTTAACTAATGCTCTGTCTCAACCAGATAATATTTTCAGCCACCTTTAACAGAATCAAATGCTTTTAAATCCTACTTAATTCATATGTTTTTATTGGGTTTTAAATTTGTTACATATATGTTCAATATTCCAATTCTATTGTAACCTTTAAAAATATTTGATCCTACAGAACAGCCAGATGGCCATTGAAGATGACTGAAAACATTAGCTGGTTTATTTTGTATTTTTAAGGACAATCAGTTTAGATTGCTAAAGCTATTAACAATATACTGTTACAAGTTAAAAGTAACATACAGACATAACATAATAATAATATTAAAAACAGAAGTATTATGTAAGATATAAAAAGTTTTAACATACATTTCAGTCCCTTGAGATTAAGATATTCCCTCATCCAAATTTCAGTTCATATATTGATGTTTTTACATTAAAAGATTTTAACTAAAAAATATCATAAATAAATTTATCTTTAATTAAAATATTCTATTTTTACACACTAACGTATAAATCAATTAACTATGTAAATCACTGTAATTGAAACCCTTTCTTTAAACTTTAAACAGAATAATGTCTAATTCTTGCTTTTTCGAAACTTATTTATTCTTGCAAGAACATTTTCAAGCTACTATGTCTCTTCTCGCAGTTTCCTTACAAATTTGGCACAAGTAAATAAAAATATTATCAATAATATGGTACGACTTAGGGAACGCATCTGCCCTCTTTAATCATCTGAAAGATTCCTTCGTCCAAATGGACGTAGAAAATCGCCTATTAAAGCAACAGCTCGAACACCAAGCTGGCACTTTAACACTCGCAAGCCATGGCCGTCCACTAAGAAAAAGAAACATTTCACAAGAAAGAATAAAATCTTTCATGCACTTAACTAACGCTTCAATGCCACTGTTGGGCACTGAAAGAGTTAACTAAATAAAACTGTAATCTAGATACTTAAAATCCTCGAATAAATCTTTAAAAGCGATAAAAATAACAGTAGCACTCTCTGTTGCTGTAGTGTGATATTTAACTTTTGTGATTGGTAGATTACAGGTTACATGTTTTAAAATTCTGTTTTTTATTGGCATTTGTCGATGTATATGTTTTAATAGTAATATACACGTAGATAGAGAATTATTACGTACCACTTTGGAAAGTGCCGAACAAAACTTATCTTAATCATGTTTCTATCAACTTTTCAAATCCTTTTAAGTTTAGTTGTTATTTTTCTTGTGTTGATTTATACAATAGTGAAGAAATGAAGAAACAGGAAACAACTGGAAAATGATTCCACTATATTATCTTGTGGAAAAGCTTCATCTGTGTCTGGAAGTAAGTAAATGTTTGAAAGTTTTTATTATTATTTTTAAAGATATTATTACTTTAAGACGAAACATTATCTTACAAAAAGATGATTTTATAAAGAATTCGATTAAACAAATTTTAATTGAACAACAATCGACAATATTAAATAGAATAAAACGAATTTTTCTTATAAACATTGTTCGACTCAGACCATATTGAAACAACGAGAAATGCAAAAACATTTCGGTTTGTTTTTCGTACGTACGGTGTGTGTGCGTGTTTGTGTAGCATTTTGTTTATTAGATTTGAAGCTTAAAATAACTCTAGTGTTTTTATCGAGAGTTTTTGAAATTTTCCACGAAGGTGTCTNGTTTGAAAGTTTTCATTATTATTTTTAAAGATATTATTACTTTAAGACGAAACATTATCTTACAAAAAGATTATTTTATACAGAATTCGATTAAACAAATTTTAATTGAACAACAATCGACAATATTAAAAAGAATAAAACGAATTATTCTTATAAACATTGTTCGACTCAGACCATATTGAAACAACGAGAATGCAAAAACATTTCGGTTTGTTTTTCGTACGTACGGCCTAAAGTGTGTGTGCGTGTTTGTGTAGCATTTTGTTCATTAGATTTGAAGCTTAAAATAACTCCAGTGTTTTTATCGAGAGTTTTTGCAATTTACCACGAAGGTTTCTGTGTTTGGTGAATTTATGCTGTTAAATTTTGGTGGTTGCACGTCTAGTGTACGAAGAGATAAAATGTCGTGTGTTCTATCTGACATAATGAACTTAACGGTCGAATTNAAAAAAAAAAAAAAAAATTCGGGTTTTTGTTGTATGTATGGATGTTAGT